ACGGTGTTGGTGTTGACGGTGACAGTGGTGGAGATGGTATTGGTGTTACGGGGTGGTGGAAGTGATGGTGAACATTGTGGGTGTCGTGGTGGCGATGATGCTGGAAGTGGTGGAGGCGGTGAAGAGTCTCCCTGCTTCTCTGACCACCTCCCTTCTGTTACAGAGTGGAAAGGACTTAAAAAGATGCAGGGAGCAGAAGTGGTGGAAAGGAAGGAACTCAGGATGAGACTAAAGACAGAGGTTCTAAGCTTGGAACTGTGGATCACAGGGAAATTTCTATGTCAAATAGAAACCAGTTGTGTTCAACTCTTCGGCATGCTGGATGGCTGACCCACAGAGTCCACACAGACACTCTCAGTACTGTACTGAAACCAGATAAACCCAACCACAGCCATCAAGTCCCCTCCAACTCAGTGAGTGGCCCTGCATAGTTTTTGAATTTTACACAAGCAGACAGCCTCCTTTTTCTCCTGTGAGGAAGCTGTGAGCTTGGAACACCGACTTTGCAGCGAGCAGCCAATGCCTGACCCGGGGCCGGCACCTGATGTATAGAAAACCCACAGCCATCAAGTTAACCCGACTTCCGGTGTCCCTGAGGGTTGCCAATGGCTGCTTTCCTCTGCCAGGTCTTTAAGAAGCCTAACCTTAACCTCCTGGGTGAACCCTAACCTCCACTTTTTCAGTTAGCAGCTGAGTGCATTAACCAAGTGACTAGGGACAGAGCGCACACTGAATCCTGGCTAGCAATGCTGCGAGCTTTGGTCCCTCTCGGGAAGGCAGTGTTTGCTTTCCTGACATGAAGGCTCCGTACCATGCCACCTACTCCAAGTCTCCTCCACAACCATGCCGTCCTTGTGGTTCTAGAAGGTTCTGTGCTCAGGGTACCCTCAGGAAGCACAGAAGCCTGGGAACGGTCAGACATGGCGGTGGCGTCGGAAGTCACAGTGAGGGCAGGACAGTGAGGTGGTAGCAGAGGAGGGCACTAAGTCCCAAGTCCTACAAGCCATCAGTCTGGGGAACTAGGAACTACTGCTATGTGCCCCTGTCCGGCGCCCTGGCCCCCTGCCCGCCCTCCGTCTCTGCTTACCTCTGTAGCCTCGCCTCCAGCCAGGTCCTGGAAATCACCGCTTCAGACACCATGTGAGTCAGAATCCATGTACGAGTGTTCATAGCTGCATGGTTGTACTATCCCCGAACTGGAGACAGCCCAAAGTGCAGCAGCAGACACCTGGGCCAGCAGACACATATCCGTGTGTACTGTGCAGTCATGTGGCAGGGAGATGGGTACGTTTTCCTGGTGAATGAAGTAAGCAAGACAAATACGCTGTGTACTTCTCTTTCTGTAAAGCAAACAAGCCCGCAAGCTGACTCCCATGGACTCTGTAGCACAGAGGAGAACTGCTTCCACGGACTTCCAAGACTCAGTCTTTATACAAGCAGACTGCCACGTCTGTCTCCTGCAGAGCAGCTAGTGGGTTTGAACTGATGACCTTGAGTTAGCAGCCCAGTCTTTTATCCACTGTACCACCAGGACCCCTTGAGTTCTGGTGTGGGACAGTGACATTCGAAGGCACACTGAAGAAGGAGGGAAGCGGGACATGAGAGAGGGCGGGCCAGGTTCCTGGACGGTGGACAGTCCTCCATCTCTGACCGCAGGACTTGGGGGCCTAAGGGCACTTTCTTCATTGAACGTATTTGTTGAAGTTTGGTATGCTTTCCTCTGCGTGTGTTCCTGTTGTTATCACTAGGCGCTGCTGAACTCCTTCCAACTCATAAGGACCCCAGGAACAAGTGAGCAGGACTGCCCCATCCGGCAACAGCTTCACAACTGCGGCGGTGTTAGGGCCCATTGTTAGCGGTACTGCCCGTTCACCTCGCGGAGCGTCTCCCTCTTGGTTGCGGATCCTCTACTGTCCCAGCACGATGGCCTTCGCCAGGGGCTGGTGCCTCCTGGCCCCACGTCCATTGGCTGTGACATGAAGTCTTGTTATCCACATATCTAAGGAGCATTCTGGCTGGTCTTCTATTCCAGATAGATCTGCTGTGTTATGTCTCACCAGGAACAACGGAAAAATCGGAGACACTGGTACTCATCAGGTCCAGGGGTGGGCTAGTACAATGTGGTGTCCAGGGCCCTGCCCCCAGAAACCCAGCATGCTGACCCTCACCTCCAGGTACCCTCGTGGTTCTCATGCCTAAGTCAGCTTGGCTGCTAACTAAAAGATTAGCAGTTCAAACCCATCGAGTGGCTCCTATAAAGACCCCAGCCCAGGGAACGCTATGGGGCAGCTGTATTCTGTCACATGGGGCCACCATCAGTTGGCATCGACTTGAAGGTGCCCAACAGCACCCACAGCCTATGGCCCAGGGATCGAGTGTTTCGGGATCTCAATGTTGCCTGTTCTGAGCAGCCCTGGGCCAGAGGGCTAGACTGGGCTCCATGTGAGGTCCACAGCAACAGCATATACCTCAGGGAAGCCCAGCCCCTCCGAGTCCCTGTGTCTATGCACAGAGCAAGCCACTTTGTCTGAGGAGCCTCAGTCTCCTCCTCTGTAGAATGGGCTCCTAAGAGCATCCATCTCCTGGTGCCTGCAGGTATTATTGCAAGATCACCAAGCTGAAAGCAGTCGGCCCCTTCTGTAGTCCCGGGAGGTGGGGAGGGAGGGGCAGCCTCTACACCAGACTCCCCTTCAGAAGTCAGTCAGACCCACTCCCCAATTCCCTCATCACCTGTACCCCCACACTGGGCCTCTGCCCCCCTTTCTGCCAGGATTGTGGTACGTGCTGGCGGGCCCCTGAATACTGCTCCTCAAGGTTCCTCCCCCTCCAGCCTTGCGATTCCTGGGGGCCTCCACTGTTCCCTTCTTATACGGCCCCTGCAGAGACGTAGGATGACGAGGAAATGATGACTCTCGGTGGTCCTGTGGGGGCGGGGCAGGGGTGTGGGGAGCTGAGAAGTTGGCGGGGCTCAGGGCTTGCGCACGCACACGCACCACACACATATCCGTGTGCACTGCAGTCAGCAGAACGGAAGCTTCGGCCAGGGGACTGGAGCCAGAGCTTGTCCTCTCTCTCTGTGAGGAGGAGAGAAGTGGCTTCAGGGTTTCAGGGGTAAGTTCCTCTTAGAGCCTAGGGGAGCGGGACTCCTGGGCCACCCACCTGGGGAATGTTCTGCAGATGAATGTGAGGATGTGGCCAGAGGTGGGGGCAGGGATGGAGGCTGTAGGGACAGGTGCTCCAACTGAGGCTGCACATCTCGGGGGTGTGGGGTCCAGCTCCATGCAATGGGAGAGCAGTGGGTGGAGGTGGGTGGGGGTCATGTGTTTCTGTACACTGGTGCATGTGGGCGGGGTCAGCGTGCTATGGGCGGGGTCTGTGTGTGTGTGTGTGAGCCTGTATAGTGGACGTAGTACATGTGTGCGAAGCACGTGTACACAGCTGTGTGTGTTGGGAATTGGGGTGTCGTGGGAGGGGGACACGGGAGAAAGATGATTGTGTGCTCTCATCAAGATTGACAGTCTCAGAAATCCTGTGCAGGACTGTGATTAGGTGAAACAGTCAAAGCAGTGGATTGGGGGGAGAGGGGGGCGTACGTAATGTCTACCTGTGAAGATGTCTGTTGTGTGTCTGTGTCTCAGTGGACTGGTGTCCGAGGGGAACGTTGGGGCCCTTTAGCATGTGTGAACACAGTACACTTTGGACTGAGGAGGGCTCCGGGGCACCCTGTCTGACTCCACTCCACTCTACTCCACTCTTGTAGGGAGGTGTGGGAAGGCTTGAACTAGGTCCTGCAGATGATCGGAGGCACCAACAGGGTTAAGGAGTGCTGTGTGTGTGCGATACGATGCCTGCCTAGTATGCGTGGATATGCGTGGTGTGATGTCTGTGGTGTGCGTGTGATGTGGGAAATGTGGTGTGTCTGAAGTGGTATGTGATGTGTGGCACATGTGATTGTGGTATTGAGGAATGTGGTATATGTGTGCGTTGTGTGGTGGGTATGGTGTGTAGGATGGTGTGGCACGACACGTGTGGCATGCGATGTGACATTTGTGGTGTGTATGTGGTGTGGCACGTGACATGTGTGACCTCCCTGAGTCCCCACCTGTCTGGTCTCAGCTTGTACTCCCCTCACAGAGGAGATGCAGCTCTGTGGCTTCACGAGGCCCCCCACCCCACACAACCCCTTTCTCATCAGCGGCCTTCTGAAGACAGAGCTAAGGGGGCTTCACCTCCTAGCCTCTGGTTCCTCTCTTGGAGACCCTGTCCCCACTGAGCTGAGGCTCCTGCTAGGCGACATTTCGCTGTTTAATATTAAGGTGGCGGAACGCTCATGATGTGCTAAGGGCCTAACGTGAACTCCAGCTCATGTAAGCCTGCCACAGCTGCGTATACCTGTGAAGATCCCCATCGCATCGACAGAAAAGGCCCAACAGATGCACCCTGACCTGGTCAGTGGTCAGCATCCTGCCTCAGCACCAGGCCGTTGGAGCTCACAGTAGGATGGATGGCCCCAGCAACGCCTCGCTGATGCCCAGTGACGCCGCTGCCCTGGGCCTCTTAGACTACAAGGCTGTATCTGTCTTTGTGGTACTCTTGGTGTGTGTGGTGGGCATCGTGGGCAACACCATGGTAGTCCTGGTGGTGCTGACCACGAGGGACATGCACACGCCCACAAACTGCTACCTGGTCAGCCTGGCTCTGGCTGATCTCACAGTGCTGGTGGCCGCGGGGCTGCCCAATATCTCTGACAGCTTGGCAGGCCAGTGGGTCTACGGGCATGCCGGCTGCCTGGGCATCACCTACCTGCAGTATCTGGGCATTAACGTCTCCTCCTGCTCCATCCTGGCCTTCACCGTGGAGAGGTAAAGTAGCAAGGACTTCGCAGCAGTGGTCTTGGGTAAACTGAGACTCATGGGCCAGGAAGCTGTGTCCCCCAGATACTGGAGTAGAACCAAGATACCGGAGGTGGGACCCTTGGGAACTTAGGCATCAGCAAAGGGGTTCTAGTCTCAACTCTGCTGTTAATGGGCTTCAAGGGAGGAGGTGGCATCTAGCCAATCCCTGTGTGCCTCTGGGCCTCAGTTTCCCATCTGAAAAGTTGACTTTCTTGGATATATTATTTTCTCTACATTTTGTCTTGTTGCTGTTGAAACGATGCCCAGCAAAACATACTAATTCACCAGTTTCTCTATACACAAGTGAGGAACAGTGACGACATTCGTGGAGCTGTGCACGCACGCGCAGACTCCTTGTCCGAGTCCCTCCTCCCTTCTCCGCACACTCACTGCCCCCTAGAGGCTCCATCTCATGTAGAGCTGCCTCCTCAGTTTGATTCCATGGAGCTGGGTCTGGAAAGACCAGCTGAGAGTTTAAAAGCTGGGGCAAACACAGCAAGGGCGGGAGCCTGGGAACTCCAGGTCCGCCACCTACTACCGAGTGACTTTAAGCAAGTCACCTCAGAGACTCTTGTCCTCGCCACACAGCTGAACTGAGAGCCAAACCTAGACCTCCCGGTGTCCAAGCGCCGCTTCCGGTCTGTGCTCACCTGGGACCCACCACCACGCCCTCCACGCCAGGCCTGGGTCACAGGCATGCTCCCTGGTACTCCTGGGCAGGCAGTGACCTAGGCAGGGGAGACACAAGGGAAATTTTAAAGAAATCATTTATAAACAAAACAACAAAAAAAGGGATTTTACTCTCTCAATCCTCATACCCTTCGAGTTTTGCTCTCACAAAGAACGGATGCAACCACTGTATCCTCCATCACGGCAGCCCCAAAGAGAGAGGATCTGATTGGCTGAGATTGGACAGATTTTCCCCTCCCCTCAACTTTGGCCCAATCAGACACGAGCAGGGTGGGTCACATGATCTCTCAACCCCAGACCAACATGGCGGTCTCTGCGGCCTGCGTACAGGTACATCGCCATCTGCCACCCGATGCGGGCACAGGCCATGTGCACTGTCGCCCGGGCCAAGCGCATCGTCGCGGGCGTCTGGGGAATCACTGCCATCTACTGCCTTCTCTGGCTCTTCCTGGTGGACCTTCACGTTGGCGAGAGTCGTGCTCCGGAGTGCGGCTACAAGGTGTCACGCAGCCTCTACCTGCCCGTCTACCTGCTGGACTTCGTTGTCTTCTTCGTCACTCCCTTGCTGGTGGCCACGATCCTCTACGGGCGCATCGGGAGACTCTTATTCCGGAGCTCCCTGTCCCACCTTCCCCACCCCGGGGACAGCGAGGCTGCGCAGCCCAGTGCGCAGGGCGAGGGCACAGCCAGTAGTTGCTCCCACTCCAAAGGTTTCCTGTCTTCCAGGAAGCAGGTTAGCCAAGACTCTTCTGGGACTGGGTGGGCCATGGTAGGTGGGGAGCTGGACGAGGAGAGGAAGTTGTTATGGTGTAGAGCGGCAGGGAGAGTACCAAAGGCGTAAACAGAGATATACAAAGTCTACATTCATCCGTTCATTCATTCAACAAATGTCGAGTGAGCACCTACAACGTGTGCCAGATGGAAGGGAGTTATGGTAGTGCAATGGGTTAAGCGCTTGGCTGGTAACCCAAAGGGCAGCAGTTTGAACCCCCTAGCCAGCTGCTCTACAGGAGGAAAATGAGGCAGTATTCTACCATAAAGGTAACGACCTTGGAAGCCCTGTGGGGCCACTGTGAGTGGGAATCAACTCTTTGGGTGGCACACATGGTTAAGCTCTGGTGGTGTGAGACCATTCAGAGGTTCCTCTAAAGAAATCTCTGGAGATCTGCTTTTGAAAGGTCACAGACTTGAAGACCCTGTGGAGCAACTCTGCACTCAGTGGGTGGGTACGTGGGGGGTCCGCATGAGTCAGAAGTGACTCACTGGCAAGCTGCTAATTGTTAAGGCGATAGTTCACACGTACTCACACGTCTGAAAATCAGCCACAGTGAGTGAGCCCTGTGGCGTGCCCTTCTATTCTGATAGGCACAGAGTTGTCAGAGTCATGGTTTGCGTTTCTTTCATTCACGCCTGTGGGTGATGGACGCAGGGTCTTGAAGCCCCCATCCCGTTTGAAAGTTCTTTGCTTTCTAGAAAGTCTGAGAGGCCTTGGGGTGGGACCAGGTACACTTCAGGGTCTCTGCCACCAGCTGTAGAGATATAGCTCATTGTATTATCAGCGGGCAAACCTGTACATAGCGACCTGTCTGTGCGCACGGGAAGTGCATGTGCGGTGAAGGGGGAGCATTCTCCCTAAGGAGCACGAGCCTGCGGTGGCGACACTCACTGAGCTCTCCACAGGTCACCCGGATGCTGGTGGTGGTGGTGGTCCTCTTTGCTGTCCTGTGGACACCCTACCGCACGTTGGTGCTGATCAACTCCTTTGTGGCCCAGCCTCTCCGGGACCCCTGGGTGCTGCTCTTCTGCCGCACCTGCGTCTACACCAACAGCGCCATCAATCCTGTCGTCTACAACCTCATGTCCCAGAAGTTCCGCGCGGCCTTCCGGCGGCTGTGCAGGTGCGGGGCAGGGGAGTCGTAGAGGCGCTAGGAGGGCCTGCCCACCCCCAGCTTCAGTGAGCCCCCTGGCAGGCCCCACATGTCAAAGAAGACAGTCATCAAGGACAGTGAGACCGGGGACCCCAAGGCCTCCAGACCCCCTTCCCAGCAGCAAAAGCCTCATTGAAGCCTGAACTGAGTGTGCCCATCTGTGGCCCCCACTCTCCCCTGTCACCACACCTGTATGCACACAGGTGAAGTCCTACAGTGTCTTCCTGTACCAGTGGACAGCAGGGGAGGACATACGCCTGTACCAGTGGTATAGCTACGAATCTCCTAGGGGTTTCTCTTCCTGTACACGAGGACATCCGAGTGTCCCAGGCCCCAGAGCTTACGCTCTGCCTGAGTGGCTGCCCACTTCCCCGGGGAGGAGTTGGAGGTGAGAGCCAGGAGGCATAAAACCACAGCCATCACCCAGTGTTGTTAGTGATGATTTTAAGAACTATTTTCAGGGGGAACAGTTAGGGTCAACACTACAGGGATGAACACCTGGTTTGTATTCACATTCATCAGCAGCAGCTGGGACAGAAGAAACAAAGTTAGAATTTGGTACCAACATTGAAATCTGAGCTCTCATGGAAAGAGTAGAATTTTAGGGACCTAGCTGGGCTGCGAACCGCAAGGTCAGCAGTTTGAAACTACCAGCTGCTCTGCGGGAGAAAGATGAGGCGTTCTGCTCCTGTAAAGATTTACAGCCTTGGAAACCCTGTTCAGGGTCGCTATGGGTCGGAACCGACTCGACGGCACTTAACAACAACAGTATGTGCCACTGTGAGATTGATGGCTTCCCTGTACGTAGAGACGTCTCTGATGGGGTTGGTGTGACCATTGAGTGTCATGGTTCAGTGGTGTGCATTATCACAGAGGAACCCTGTGTTGCAGTGGATAAGGAAAGGCTGGTGGGTCGAGCCCACCAGTAACTCCACTAGAGAAGAGCCTGACGATCTGCCCCCCTAAAGACTGTTGTCGTTAAGTGCCATGCAGTTGGTTCCAACTCATAGCAGCTCTGCATACAGTTTCTGAGGAGCGGCTGGTGAGTTTGTATCGCTGACTTTGTGGTTCAAACTGACTTTGCAGTCCAGTGCTTTATCCTGTAGCGCCACACCATACAGATTGTTGTTAAGTACCATAGAGTCAATTCCGACTCACAGTGACTCTGTACAGGGTTTCCAAGGCTGTAAATCTCTACGGGAGCAGAATGCCTCATCTTTCTCCCACGGAAGAACTGCTGACCTTGAGGTTGGTAGCCCGACTCATAACCACTACCCTACCAGAGCTTACAGCCTAGGAAACTCCATGGGGCAACACTACTCTGTCCTGTAGAGCTGATGCGGGTTGCAGTGGGCGTACCATTTGGAAGATCCCTGTCACTTACTGGACCCAATGTGGCTGTTCAGTTTCAGAGGGATAATCAGGTGATTCCACTGCAAGGCTGTGAAAGCTAGGAAAATACTCTACCCTTTCTGACTATGCAAGCCAGATTTTGGTACTTCAACTGAAAATATACATTGTAGCTGCATGAATGGAGGACTAGCTATTAGAACCCCCGTGACTTCCATCATACCAGACATTAAGACATTAAAAACCAATGGTTCCGGCTCTCACCCTCACTCAATTCACAATAAAAAGTTTAAAGGATAAAAAAGAACACAATGTCATTTTTTTTGCACTGACTTTTTTCTTTTGAAAAATTCAGCTTGTTTTTGTAAAACATTGTGTTATCATGTTTATTACTGTAATTTAAAAATGAAGTAAAATTCTAGTTTTAATTTCTAATATGGTACATGCCTATAGTTATAGGAGTCCTGGTGTGGCACTGTGGGTTAATGCTATAGACTGCAGGGTTGGTTTGAACCGCAAGTTGGCAGTTCAAGCTCACCAGACACTGCTTGGAAGCCCTTCACGCGGTTGGTTTGAGTTGGAACTAAAGACCCATTTGCACCTCCCTGAGAGGCCAGCGAATAACAATGCTCAGTTTAAATCCTCAGCATAACAACGCACACTCAGTTTAAGTCATCAGGAATGTCTGCCTGAAATTCAGCATTGTTGTTGTTAAGTACCCTGGAGTCCTTCCGACTCATAGTGACCCTGCACAGGGTTTCCCAGACTGCAAACCTTTACTGGAGCAGAAAGCCTCATCTTACTCCTGCAGAACAGCTGGTAGTTTCGAACTTTACCAACCTTGAGGTTAGCAGCCCGATTCATAACCACAACACTACCAGAGCTCCTTAAACATTTGTTGTTGTTGTTAGGTGCCATCGAGTCGGAACTGATCCATAGTTGACCTTATGCACAGCAGAATGATACACTGCCCGATCCTGGGCCAACCTCACTACTGTTGCCACACTTGAGTCCATCGATGCTGCCACTGGCTAATCCATCTCGCTGGGGGTCTTCCTCTTTTTCTCTGATACTCCACCTTTACCAAACATGATATCCTTCTCCAGTGACTGGTCCCTCCTGACAATATGTCCAAAGTATGAGAGATGAAGTTTGGCCATCTTGGCCTCCCAGGAGCACTCTGGCTGCACTTGTTCAAAAACAGATCTATTGGTTCTTCTGGCAGCCCATGGCACTTTGAATATTCTCCTCCAACACCAGAACTCAAAGGCATCAATTTTTCTACAGTCTTCCTTATTCACTGTCCAGCTTTCACATGCATATGAGGTTATTGAAAATACCATGGCTTGGGTCAAACACACCTTAGTCCTCAAGCTGACGTCTTTGCTCTTCAACACTTTAAAAAGGTCTTGTGCAGCAGATTTGCCTAATGTAATACGCCGTTGATTTCTTGACTGCTGCTTCCATGCATTAGGCTCTTGTAAAAATGATCTCTATGGTTACAGGACCCTTCAGGGGCAGTGAATTTATGTTCAGAGGGGAGGCACACCTCAGTGAACGTCATCAATGTTACTAAATTGTAGAAAGTGTGAAGTTGGCACCCTCTGGTGCTGTAGGAGAAGCACTGGCCTGCTAATGGAAGGTCAGCAGTTCAAATCCATCAGCCGCTCCTCGGGAGAAAGATGAGGCTGTTTGCCTCTGTAACAGATTGACAGACTCAAAAACCCTATACACGGCTGCTGTGCGTGAGTCGAAATGGACTCTGGGTTTTATTTTTTATTTTTATTGCTATTCTAACAACCGCAAAATAAATATAAAGAAACATATACATGCTCATTATAGAATATTGTTGTCATTGTTAAGTGTCATTGAGTCGGTTCTGACTCATAACGACCCTGTATAGGATTTCTAAGGCTTTCTAATGTTTTCAGGAGCAGAAAGTCTCATCTTTCTCCCACAGAGTGGCTGGTGGTCTTGAACCATCGACCTTGTGGTTCACAGTAAAAAGATGTCCTTTACAGTTTGTCTTTGAGATGTTACATGCCAACAATCAACATTACTTTAAAACAAAGACGAGAACGCAAGGCGGCAGGGAGACTAGAACAGCGGAAGCAGATCCAGCATGACAGAAGTCATGAGAAGGCTCGTGTGCTGCACAGGGCCTAACCGGTATCACGGAACAATGTGTAAGTTGTTGAATGGGAACCCAAACTCAATAAAGTATCATTTCAAAGAGTTACAGTTGAGGGAACTTAGTTTCAGAGGGTGCGGGGAAAGGTAGAATCTCCACTGAGTTGTTTCCAAGCTGTCCAGACAGGACTGGTGAAAGGAGGTGGGGATAGACCTTTGTGGTTCAATAGTGAACGATTGCTAATCAGGACTGATAGTGAATGTTGCAATGTAAAGGTAGACATTTTGTAACAGAAGGAAGGGAGCGGTTGATCTTGCAGCCCAGGAGTGGAGGACCCTGGGACCATCGAGGGAGAAGAGCGGACTGCGGGACCCTATCCAGAGAGAAGCAGCGACATCAGAAATGGAGGCAGAGACAATGACATGATGTGGAGAGATGGAGTGGCTGGGAATTCTGGACTCAGGGAGGGAGAGGGGCTGTGTGCTGACGGCTGGGTGGCTGGCGTGCAGGGTGTATGTACCTTGGGTTGTTTGAATGCTTGTATATTCCTGAGCGCTTTGGTGTACATCCAAAAAACTAACAAACCAACCCAGAAGGATTGGAAGCAAATGTTGAATGATGATGCACGGAGGGGATTGTAGTCATTCAATGCAACAAAATGCTGTAAAATGAATGTAAAGCCGATGTTCTCCCGTGTAAACTATCACTCAATTCCCAATAAAAACATATATGTGTGTGTGTGTGTTGTTAAGTACCATGGAGTCGGTTCCGACTCATAATGACCCTGCACGGGGTTTCCAAGGCTGCAAATCTTTACGGGAGCAGAGAGCCTCATCTTACTCCCGCGGAACAGCTGGTAGTTTCAAATGGCCCACCTTGAGGTTAGCAGCCCAATTTGTAACCACCATGCTACCAGAGCTCTCTCACTCTCTCTCTCTCTATATATATATAGAGAGAGAGTTCAGTCCCTAGTTTTTTCAAACCCTCTCATGAGATTCCCCTCAGGCTGTGTGAGGAGAGGGTCTGAGGCTGTATCCTTTGTCACAGTGCCTGTTGTTGTTAAGTGCTGTTGTTAAGTGCTGTCAGAATCAGTTCAGATTCATGACAACGCTGTGCACAACAGAACAAAGCACAGTATGGCCCTGCCTCACAATTGCTGCACTTGAGCCCACTGCTGCTGCCACAGTGCCAATCCACCCTGTTGGGGGTCTTCTCGTTCTCTGACCCTCAACTCTACCAAGCATGATGTCATTCTTCAGAGACTGGTCCCTCCTGATAATATGTCTGGAGTATGATAGACGAAGTCTTGCCACCCTGGCTTTTAAGTGACATTCTGGTTGTACGTACTCCAAACAGATTTGTTCTGGTGGTCTGTGGTACTTTCAGTGTTCTGCCAACACCAAAACTCAAATGCATCAATCAGTTCTTCTAAAGTCTTCCTAATTCACATGCATATGAGGCTATTGAAAATAGCATAGCTTGGGTCAGATGCACCTTAGTCCTTAAACTGATCTCTTCCCTCTTTAATATTTTACAGAGGTCTTATGCAGTAGATTTGCCTAATACATTGTTTGATTTCTTGACTGCTGAGTGTTGACAATGGATCCAAGCAAAATGAAGTCACTGACAACTTTAACCTTTTCTCCGTTTATCATGATGTTATTTATTGGTCCAGGGGTGAGGGTTTTTGTTTGCTTTACACTAGGGAGCGATCTATACTGAAGGCTGGGGTCTTTGACTTTCATTAGCATCCTGTTCATTTTCAGCAAGCAAGGTGGTATCAGCTGCAGATTGAAGGTTGTTACTGAGCCTTTCTCTAATCCTGATGCCATACTCTTCTTCGTATAATCCAGTTTCTCAGATTTGCTCAGCAGACAGATTGAATAAATATGGTAAAAAACAACAAAAACCCCAACTCTGGTACACACCTTTACTAATTTTACACCATTCAGCATCCTCTTGTTCTGTTCAAACGACTGCCTCTTGGTCTATGTACAGGTTTCTCATGAGCACAATGAAGGGTTCTGGAATATCCATTGTCTACAATGCTGTCCAGAACGTGTCATGATCCATACAGTCAAAAGCCTTTACAAAGTCAATAAAGCACAGGTAAACATTTTTCAAGGATTCTCTGCTTTCAGCCAAGAGCCATCTGACGTTAGCATTGATATTTCTCATTCCAAGTCCTCGTCTGAATCTGAGTTTCCTGTCAACGTATTGTGGGAGCTATTTTTGAATTATCTTCAGTAAAATTTTACTTGTATATGATATTAATGATATTGTCCAATGATGTCCTCATTCCATTTGGGTCACCTCTCTTGGAAATGACCACAAATACGAATGTCTTCCAATCAGCTGGCCAGGTATCTCTTTTTGGACGCCAACTATTCCCGGAGCTTGGTTCTTTGCCAATGACTCCGATGCACCTTGGATTTCTTCTTTCAGTACATACGCTGCCTCTGAAATGGTTGAACACCGATCATTTCTTTTTGGTACAGTGACTGTGTATTCCTTACATCTTCTTTTGGTGCATCATTTAATATTTTACCCATAAATCCTCCAACACTGCAAGTCGAGGCTTGAATTTTTCTCAGTTCTTTCAGCTGAAGAAATGCTGAGCATGTTTTGCCCTTTTGGTTTTCTAACTTCAAGTCTTTGCACACTTCATTATAATATTTGACTTCATCTTCTTGAACTCTTTGAAATTTTCTCTTCAGCTCTTTTACTTTCTCATTTCTTCCATTAGTTTTAGCATCTCTATGCTAGAGAGCAAGTTTCAGAGTCTCTTCTGACACCCATTTTAGTCTTTTCCGTTTTTCTTGTCTTCTTAGTGATCTTGTCTTTCTTTCCAGTATGATGTCCTTGATGTCATCCCACAACTCTTCTGGTCTTTGGTCTTTAGTGTCTAATGCATCAAACCTGTTCGTAAGATGGTCTCTAAATTTAGGTGGAATATATCCAAGGTCGTATTTTGGCTCTTGTGGACTTGTTTTAATTTTCTCTAGCTTCAGCCCTGAAATTGTTTATGAAAAATTGATGGTCTGTTCCACAGTCTGCCCCTGGCCTTGTTTTTGCTGATATGGAACTTTTGTACCATCTCTTCCACAGATGTAGTAGGTTTGATTTCTGTATATTCCATCTGGTGAGGTCCATGTGTATACTCGTCTTTTACATTACTTTAAAAAGGTATTTGCAATGAGTAAGTCATTGGGCTTGCAAAATTCTATCATGCATCACCAAGGCCATATTTTCCAACTACTGATCCTTCCTCTTTGCTTCCAACTGCCGTTAGTTATCAATACATATTGATAGCAATTTTGAACAATTTCAGACTGAAGAAGCTGGTAGAATTCTTCAATTTCATCATCATGGCTTTAGTGGCTGGTGCGTACATTTGAATAACAGTGGTATTCACTGGTCTTTCTTGTAGCAGTGTGGATATTAGCCTATCACAGGCAGAGTTGGACTGCAAGAGCTCAAAATGTTCTTTTTGAAGTGTGATGCTGTTCGTCTTTAATTTACCATTCCCGGGATAGTCGTCAGATTCAAAGTAGCCAATAACAGTTCATGTCAGCTCACTAATGCCTAGGATAGTGATCTTTATGCGTTCTATTTCACTGTTGACAACTTACTTTCTTAGTATTTGAGAACTAAAGTGTGCCTGACTCGAGCCATGGTATTTTCAGTAACCTTACATGCATGCGAAATTGGATTGTTAATAAGGAAGACTGTAGAAGAATTGATGCTTTTGAGTTATGGTATTGGAGGAGAATATTGAAAGTGCCATGGGCTGCCAAAAGAACCAACAGATCTGTGTTGGAAGAAGTGCAGCCAGAGTGCTCCTTGGAGGCCAGGATGGTCAAACTTCATCTCTCATACTTTGGACATATTGTCAGGAGGGATAAGTCCCTGGACAAGGATATCATGTTTGGTAAAGTGGAGGGTCAGAGCGAAAGAGGAAGACCCCCAATGGCACAGTGGCAGCATCAGTGGGCTCAAACATAGCAACAATTGTGAGGTTGGCCCAGGATTGGACAGTGTTTCATTCTGTTGTGCATAGGGTCGCTATGAGTCGGTACCAACTAAATGCATTGCACCTAATAAGAATGATGGTAACAATTTTCTTACATTCATACTGCTTACATTCCATATTCTTTTTACTAATGGATGCTTACAGCTGTTTCTCCTCATTTTGAGTTGTGCCCCATCATCAAATAAAAGGTCCAGAAGGCTTTACTCCATTTACGTCATCACGGTCAACTCTACTTTGAGGAGGCAGTCGTATTTTGAGTGCCTTCCAAGCTGAGTGGAAGCTCATTGTCTGACTCTATCTGACAGCATCCCACTGCTATTCCTAGAGTTTTCGGTGGCTAACCATTCAGAAGTCCTTTTCTTCTCCTTCTTCCTTATCTTTCTTGGTGGAAGCTCAGCTGCAACCTGCCCACCATGAGTGACCCTGTTGGTATTCAAAATACCAGTGGCATAGCTCAGAGCAACACAGCACACGCAAGTCACCACAGCGTGGCAAACGGACCGATGAGAGGTGGCGTAGTGCGAGCACAGGGCCTGGCTGAGTCCAACAAATGAGGCGCCCTCCTCACCTGTGCCACCTACCCAGCCTGTTCTGAGAACCACCTGAAAGTGATGACGTGCTACCTTAAGAAAAATCGTGATATGATAGATCAGTTTTCCAGTCAACAGTTCACACACATTTTGTTTCCTGTCATTGATTGCGGTCCCCACAACGTAACATCACTCACCCACTTCCTTCCTGGGTTTCTTCTTCACTAACCCTTTTGGTGTATTTGCTTTGCCAGCACTATTGTGTTCCCCTATAGAGTCCTGGTGTGGTCCTGTAGCACAAGGCCAGTTTGAATCTCAAGGCTGACAGTTCGAACACACCAGCTGCTCCTCAGAAACCCTATTCAGGGTACTGTCAGTCAGAGCTGACTCCACAGAACTCAACAACACACACCTTCTACTGTTTGGTTTGAAATTGCATCATGGGTGTGAGTTTCTTTCCAGCCTGAAGAATGGCTAAGGACCATAGTCTCTATCTGACCAGTAAGCCTGTTCTTTCTCAGGATTTGGAGTTTTGGTCCACATTTTTCTCTCACTCACTCCAGGACCTCCTATTGTGAGCCGTTTCAGAGCAGTGGGCAGCGGGCAGCGGCAGCCAGGTCTCGGGGGCTGGGCTTTCTGTGACCCATTAGTAGTTTGGGCTAATTAGTCCCAGTATGTCTGATTTTTTCTCACTCGTCTTTGCTCTGAACAGGGAGAGACGAAGAATTGCATATAAGATGACTACATGCATGAGCTAGCTTTTACAGACTACAGACCAGAACAGGGAGGACCCCCAGCATGGGGCAGAGAGACACAGATCCAATCCGCATGAAGTGCAAGAACATCTGAAGACCGTGCCCACCTGGCCAACACGTCAGACCCTCTCTGACGGTGTTCTGGCTCATCCTGCTGCCGAGTGACTCAGGGAGTGTGAGCGGACGTCTCCAGGCTGCACACAGGCGTTGAGAGCCCTGGGGATGTTAGATGTATGCCCGTAGCCAGCGGAAGGCATCAGAGCCCGGCACAGCAGCAGGGGGAGGGTCACACGTGACACTGCCCCCTGGAGACCAGATGTGGAAGCTGGGGAGTGGGGCTTAACTGAGGGGTGAGTGTCAGCTCAGTGTCTTTGTCTCCTGATACTGCTGTCACAAAAGACGCCACCCATCCAGGCCTTTGAAGAACAAGAAGTAGTTTTCTTACAAACTGAGAGGCTAGAAGTGAGCATTCAGGGGTCCAGAGGGGGCTCTGCTCTACTGTGTCTCCATAGCAACCCAGTGCATTGGGATGCTGCCTGCCACTCTGGGGGCCATCAGGGCTCCTGGCCCCCCCAAGCAGACTAAGACCAATTCCCACCACAGGGGATGGACTGTGCTCCTGAAGCTGGTCTTTGAGAAGGCAGCAGAGAGGGCGACCAGGGGAGGGCTGGGGGGTGGATGTGGCCTTGGTCACATCAGGTCCAGGTGAAGAGTTAGTCACATGGACCCTAATGAGTGCTAGTGGAGAGCTCCCCCTGGCTGCTGGAACAATGGGTGTGTCCCCTCATCCTCTGACTTCTAGGGTCCTCCCTGGAATCTAGTAAGACCACCCCATCTCAGAATCATCCATTTCATGCCATCTCCAGACACCTTTTCTCAAATGAAGTCACATTCACAGACTTAGGGTGAGGATGTCTTTAGGGGATGGCCAGACTGTCATTCCTGAGGCCTCCCCCCAGAGGTCTGTGGCCAGTCTGGATGAGGCTAAGAAATTGTGGTCTTTTAGCAGTTGGAGGTTCAAATCCACCCAGAGGCACCTTGGAAGAAAGGGCTGGTGATCTGCTTCTGAAAAATCAGCCGTGGAACCCTTAGCGAGCACGATTCTGCTCTGCCACGCTTGGGAGCATCATGATTCAGAGTCAAATCCAGGGCAAAACCCAGCGCACAGCCGTGGAGTTACTCTGACTCATGGTGAGCCTGTGGGGCGGGCTGGAAGCACTCCAGAGACTGTCACCTTTCAGGATGCGTCTGCCTTGTCATTCTCCCATAGAGAAGCTGCTGGAGTCCAAACGCAGACCTTTGTCCTAGCAGCTGAGTGCTTTACCACTGCGCCATCAGTGTTCCTCTGCAACTGGTCTGAGCCAAACAACCGTGGAGGGTCGGAGAGAGAAGGGAAGTATCAAGACTGCATGCAGAAAAGGCCACAGTTCAGCAACAAGGCTGCTCAGGGTCAGTGCTGCACTCAGAGGGAAAACAGCCTCAGGGGCCAACCAAGGGCTGTCCCCCAGGGCAGGGGGACGGGGCTGTGGGACAACGGGCTTCCCAATGCCCAGCATGCCATTTGGGGCGACTCTGGGTGGCACCCAAAGCTAGGGCAGGACCCATAGTGGGCCTCACTCATTCCTTCATCCCCCACTCGTGTTTCAGAAGCACTCATCAGTACTGTATGTGACAGGAATGCTCCGGGGGTGGTATTACCACCTCATCATCTGCAGTGCCTAATAGGGGGTGGGGACAGGTGCTCCCAGCCAATGGCAAGTGTGTGGGAGCCAAGTTCTCTGGTGAGCACAACACTCCATCTCACACTCACATAACTGAGCTCTTAGCTGAACGTTTATGAACGCTTTCACTTTGAATATTCCAGTTGAAATAATTAAAGTCTGTGTGACGTTATGGAATAACGAATGTCATCTCTCCCCAGATTAGCTTGCTCTTCATCGCAGGTTCCAGGCAGCGGATAAAGCTTGTCACTTAGAGACTGTGTGGGGCTTTGAGAAAATCTTGGAAGGGATGCTGCCTTTTGAAAGACTGGGTGGGTTCTATCAAGCCTTCTCATCAAAGCCTCCAGAGCGCTTGACCAACTTCTTTGCCCAAATGTTACCAGAACATCTCTTTTATTCTATAGCTCTTATGAAGTATCAGCCTTGGCTTGATATTAACAAACATGGTGTAGCTTTTGTCCCTATGGAGCCAACTCATCTCACTGAGGACAAGTTTCAGCACAGCCTCCAGATTAAGACTAGGAAAAAAGGCCTGGAGATTCTACTTCCAAAAAGTACGCATTGAAAGCCCCACAGACCACTGCTGAACACTTCCGGGGTGACTTCCGTGTTAGGTGCATTTTGCCACCTCCCCCGTGACAAGAGAACAGGAGAGCGAGCTGGAGCAGAGAATGTTGATCGCTGGGCCTGCACCCCTGGACCCCTTGACATGCTGCCCCTCCCCCACTCCTTGGGTGGCGCAGCACCTTGACCTGTAGCCTGGGTCCCCGTTCCCATTGCAGTGAGGGCCACCTCGGCCTGCAGACCTGATTCCATGCTGTGCTGTAAGGAAAACGGCTTAGAAGGCTGAGCAGGATAATGAGCGTTGTTTAACAAGTATCTCGGTTCATCTACCATCACACAGGCTCCCTGAAGGCTGGGCCAGGCCACCTTTCTCAGGCCTCCCTCATCTCGCAGGATCTCAGATTCTGGGGCCACGTGGAAGCCCGGGGTGGACACTCTGCTGGCTCTAGACCCAATCCTGTCCTGTGTGGGCTACTTGTCCCACTGACCTCGCCAGGCCTTCATCTCCTAACGGTAAGTCCAGAGTAAGCAGCAAGATGCCTCCACAGGTGAAATGTGTACCCTGCCTGGGGATCCAGCGCTCCAGACGGGCCGGCGGAGCAGCCTCTCCCATTCACCTGGCTGCTTTGAGAATCCGTTTCTGTTTGCCTCAATTAGGGGTCACTGGGGTGTTACTGGTATCATCAGGACCATAGGCCTCCCTGCACACCCCACAACTGGCCACCTTCGGTTTCCTGGGTCCACTGGGTGGTACAGCAGAAACTGCATGGGCTCTTGGCGCCAGGACCTGAGCTGCAGGGGAAATAGGCTCAGTGTCCACTGAGTGTCCACTCACTGTCCAGGTGCTGACCCCAAACTGAGCCATGCCCTGCAGGCCAGAGACATGAGGGCAGCATTTGGGTTGGAGTGGAGAAATGGTGGTGCAGCCTTTATACCCTGACACCTGGTATCGAAGGTGTGAGCAGGTGTGGTAAGGCATAGGGAGCTTCTTGATGGTCACAGGACCATAAACTTGGATGAACATCTTCAGCTTACCTGATCCTCAAATATTCCAGAGACAGGTTGGTCATCTGAGTGTTCCAGAGAAGTATGGCTGTGTCCCTATTTTGTGGCAGTAAGGCTTGGGTCAGGAGCCCTAAAACTGGGCCTGCAACCTCAGCAGGAGATGGCAAACCTACCTTCGCCCAGTCTTGGTCCTGTGGACAGAGTTGTCCCCCCAGTGTTGATCAGAGGACCCTGCAACCCAACTGAAGGTCTCAGTGGGGCCTCACCTGGTGGGGGCAATTTGCCTCTAGCCACCTCAGAGAGTAGTCAAGTGACCTCGGCACTCCCTGAGACTGTTGAGTGTTTACCTGAAAACCAAATGACTATGGACATGCTAACATGGCTGCAGGTGACCAGTAAGTACCACATGACCTGCCGACATGCTAACACAGCTGCAAGTGACCAGGCACCGCATGACCTGCCGACATGCTAACACAGCTGCAGGTAACCAGCACCACATGACCTGTCGACATGCTAACACAGCTGCAGGTGACCAGGCACCGCATGACCTGCCCACATGCTAACACAGCTGCGGGTGACCAGCACCGAATGACCTGCCCACATGCTAACATGGCTGCGGGTGACCAGCACTAAACAATGAGTGCTGATTGCACTTTAGACAGAATGAGAAAGCAGGATGACGTCATCTGTGAACTTAACGCTGAAACACTGCCTGTTGGTAGACTAACAGCTACGCTGACATTTCTGGCCTATTTTGAGACTCCATTGTGTCTCCTGACAATTTTGCATGTTGTTGTTGTTCTTGTGAGGTGTCATCAAGCTGACCCTGACAGGGTAGGAGCCGAGGTTCCGAGACTCCTGGTCTATGTACCCACATTTCCATCAGTCCGCAACAGAGTGAGATTAGCCAACACAAAGAAGGAATCTCATGAGGCCAAACTGATCTCACGGGAAGGGGAAGACTCTTTGTTGTTCTGAGATGAAGCTTTCCCAGGATTTCTGGTGTTCAAATGTGTTTTAATAAATCATTGAAACTATTAAACAGTTGTCAATGTTAAGTGCCCTTGACTTGGTTCCGACTCACCCTGTACAGGGTTTCCGAGGCTGTACATCTTTGCAGAAGCAGAAAACCTCATCCATCTCCTGTGAAGGGGCTGGTGGGTTCAAACCACCAACCTTGTAGTTTGTAATCCAGGGTCTATCCTACAGAGTCACTGTGCCCCTCATTAAACAGTAGCTTTAATTAAATAGATATCGTGATTTGGCAAAAGAGAGTGCGACGGAGAAATAGACACACACAGAGGGTGACGAGGCAGAGAGGAACAGTAAGAGAAAGAAGAAAGAGAAAGGCAGACACGGAGAGGGGGAGAGACAAAGATGGAGAGGGACAGGAAAGGCGAGACAGAGAAATCAACTTCTCACCTGGCCCCACAGAGGAAAATAAGCCCTTGCCCACGTGGGCCACGTGGTACCTGCTCCCTACCCTCAGCACCTAATCAAGCTCTACCCCAGACCCTGTAGCCGCCACAGCTCTGCAATGGGGAAGAAGAAAGGGAGTCTTTTCAAAGGCCAAGGTCCCTCTGTCCCCAGGTGGTGC